GTATTTCATTCAATTCAGTTTGTAAAAATCGCTCAGTCTGAATTAAATAAAGACCTTGAAACTTGTGTGTCGTGTAATGATCACCCCAGTTCATGAGATAAGAAGCAACTTGAACTCCAGATAGTTCTTGTTGAGAAGCAAGTGTGTTGTGACAACGTAAAATCAGTTTACGTGATCTTTCGATTGCACTTTCCTTGTCCATCTGGTCTGATAAATTCTTAAACAATGTAATACTTTTTTGTATAAGCGCGAATGTATCATGAAAGGAGAGACTCACCTTTGTGATATAATCCGTAATATAATAAACAAGCGGTTTTGCATCACTACCACTCCATATAAATTTTATATCCACGTTGGAACGACAGGCTGAAATAAGATATTCATTAAAATTATTAATCCATGGATGGGATCGTCGCATAGATATATGACCAGTATCAGGATCAATTGATGAAGTGGGTACTAATTTACGTGGCATATACAACCGACAGTTCTTCTTGTCACCTTGATTAGCAGTATGATATTTGTAACATGTATCAGTGTGTTTATGAATGTTGTCTGCCTCAACGAGTTGCACTACATCTGCCCGAAATCGTGATCTAAAATTAGGTGATGATGGATTCGGAGTCGCAAGACAAGATGGAATCGATTTTGTTTCATTATATGAAATATCCACGCCTAAAATAATAAGCAATGCATTATCTTATTCTTATGACAACTATATTTTACCGAATATTGAACGATTATGAGTTGGCGTTTGTAAGAATCTTTTCGGTGAAGCATACACTTGAGAAATTGATGAAGATAATTGTTCTTTCACTGGTGTCGACCAAGTATTAGATTGATTTATATTTTGTTGAAAATCCGTAATATCGATGGTGTGCAAAGCTGTATAAATGTTATCTTTTGATAATCGTGGTGATGTATTTCTTGATAGTGTATCTGCAATACGGAACAAATAATGATAATCAGAAAACAATAAAATTTATCTACCATTCAAATACTCTAAGACATGTTTATCTTTAAACTCATCTAAATCTTCTTTGATAATATCTTCTAAATATGCTATTAACTTTTCACGAAAATCAACATTTTGAATCTTCTCTTTCATATAGGCTGGTGTCATATCATGATCAAGCCAAATAAGAAGATGAAGATGAAGAGAACCTCGTCCTTGGCTTTCAACAGTACCAAAGTAAGCTTTTATTGGTCCAAGTACACCACCAAGAATCATAGTATCTAACATATTAGTAATTAATATATGAAAAAATTTAGCGGTAGCAACGGGATGAGAAGCAATAATTTCCGCTCTCTTATAAGTGTCCATAAGTTGCTCTGTTTGGATGTTGTCTAGATCAAGCTTAACACCTGCAAAATATAATGCCACAGGACTATGAATATCCGCTGGATTCAAAGTAAGAAATATGCTTGTAAGGCCTTGGTTATAAATAAGTGCATGAATTTTGGTACGTAAATGTGTACGTGAATATACTGAACCCATCACTCGACCACCAATTGTTTTGATATGATTCAATAATTTATTAAACGCTTTGCTGGACTCCATATGGTAGGTTCTTTCGGAAATATTTTTAAGAGCTGTTTCAATATCTTCGCTGCTTAAAGATTGAATTTCGTGAGCAGATGATCGAAAGTAAGGTTTCGTTGCTATGAATTGAGCATGGAAGCAAGCATCACGCCGTTGCAATATATTGAAGACCACAAATATAAAACTGTGATTTTTTTCAAAACGTCGATCGCTGTAGGATAACAAGTATCGTATATGTTCTCGTAAGTTTATTTCAACTGGACGCGTTTGACTTTCAGGTGCTCCACGTCCATAGCAAAATAAAGTTGGATACAGGCCGGCTAATAGTTTTGGATTAAAGTACTCACTAACAGGCTTGGAAGAATGAGGAATCAAGTAAACTCGTTCGTTGTCCATTTGTTCTTCTGTTTTACTGTTTTTAACTTTGTGTAAAAAATATTTTGCAATATCATCAGAAGACACCATGGAGCCATTAACATCTAGAACACCACTAAAAAAATGATATATAAAATAATTTCTTTGACGATGGATCTCACCTATTATTGATAGGAATAACGCCTACATTGTTGCACTCTGTTGGGTTAGATAAAGGATCAGGAATATACCCAACTCTTTCAGATTCAATTTCTCCATCACCTATTCTCTGTTCCATTGTTGACATAATAGATTCCGGTACGTCGTCATCAGGCAGTTGGGCAATATTCTTTAGGTTGATCTCGATGTTTCGATAGAGAATATTAAATTGCTTCAACCAATTCAATGCCTGAATAATTTTTTTTTTGCGCACCGTTAAGATTTTTCGAAGATGGATACGCTCAGGCGGAGGAGCTCCAACAAAAATCACTTTAAGTGTGTCACACAGATCATCAAGTGCAAGTGGTAGACTAGTAACAATATTTGGTATATTTTGAAGAAAAGTTATACAATTGCCTTTCAATGCTGTTTGTGAAGTCGTAGCTGAATGAAAAGGCGAATGAAGTTTTATCACACAGCTATTATGACGGTAAAGTGATATTAATTTTTCTTCTGGAATCGTTAGACCTTGTAATTCGGGCGGCACATCACCTAACCATACATCATTAGCAACTGAAAATTTTGGAATGTGTCCTTTTAATAGAGCGTCGTGACATTTGTAACAAAGTGTACACATGTTTGTTCTGTTTTGTCGAAACAAACCATTGTTATATAAGAAAATATCATTCTCAAAATAAAAAGATGATGACTTGGTAGTTGAGGACTCTAAAATTATTAAAAAGCATTGAAAAATTTATAAATTACACATGAGAAGCTATTACTTTGACTGTGTCCAACCATAGGTATACTAATATTTTGTGCAGTGGTTACAATTTCTTGGTTTGAATGTTCAGTATCTGATGACTGAATACTTCTGATTAAATTTTTAAATTCATCGGAAACTTTCAGTAAATGGACGTTAGGAATTTTTGAGAGTGGTACTTTTTTCGACTTTTGTACTGGAGCGTAGACATTGCAAACTCCACAAGTAACTTCAGCTAGTTCTGACACAGACAATCGATTTACAAATTTTTGCAAACAGGCCTCTTTTAATGCACGAGGTATTGGTTATGGCCACAGAGAGTCAACGGACCATTTTTCTCTCCTGGAGGACATCTGGTTTTGTATAGAATGGTTGATATCGGTACTATCACACAAGTCAAGCCCCTCCGTATCAATCAAATGCATCTCGATATTTTCCTGCTGAATATTTATAATTTCATTTGCACGTTTTTGAACTTTCTTCTTCGTTCTATTCGATTTAGTTCGATTCTTATCTTGTTCAAGTCGCATCTGACGTTGTTCTTCTGTTTCATTCATTCTTCTTGATCGACTTCGGTTTTTCTCTTTTTCAAGACGGATCTCACGCTGTTCTTCTGTTTCATTCATTCTTTTGAATGCGCTTTGTTCTCTTTTTTTTTGAAGTCGATTTTGACGTTGTTGTTCTCTGTTGTTTTGATTTTCTTTCACTACACCCGATATACTCGATTCGGAAGAATTGTTCTCTACATTCATTTCAATTCGTAAACGTCTGTTAGGTGATGCTTCAAATTTAGGAATTCGTACTTGCATAACAGCATTATTCTTAAAAGTCTTCTTTTCAGGAGTCTAAACAAATTTCAACAATTTCAAACTTCGGTCTACATGGAAATAACTTACTGAAAGAGTTAACGTTAATTGATTGCTATGAATAGATTCGTTTTGGGCCACAGGTGACAAAAGTGGAACAAAATGATTAGGACTTCAGTTACTATTATTTGCAAGTCTTGCCTGTATTTCGTTCAAGGTATGGCACCACAAAATTGTGATGTAACAATTAGCAGTAGTAGATGGAGCAGGCGTATGAACACTATTCCAAAGTGCCATATAGTCTTGAGTATTAATATTTGGATAGACACTTCTTATATTACATTTAAGCACGCTGCATAGCGCACTAATTTCATATAATTCCGAAAATGT